CTAAATATGAAATCAAAATCCGTGACAACCTGCCTGTCTTACCTTTTAAAGTCCAATGATGCAAAACCTACCATTTAAATTACCAAAATACAGAATTTACAGTAATTCATGAGAACTCTTTATACATATGTTAATGGTAGAACCCACATTTGTTTTAGACCATAAACTAAGTAAGGTATCACAGCAAAGCACTGAGAGTATGCACTAAGTTTACAATTTAAGGTCCTAGGGGTACTAGTACTTCCCTATGAATGTCACAAAATAGTGTCTGACACATGGCACTCCCATCTGAATGCAGGTTATAAACTACTGCCCACCGTGATCTCAAGAGGTCTTAAATATTAAACACCTCCAGGAGTGCCTGAATGTAACCCTCATGCTAACAGCTGTATAAAAACAAATGCCTTTCATCTGTCCAAATTTTAAAAATTAAAATTTCTTATGATAATTTCTTATAAAATATCACAATATTAATGGATTAAAAATTACTATCTGTTTACATATCTCTGCTTGTGAATTCCAAATTGAAATGCACTGCTCACATAAATAGCTTAAATTCAGAGGCACAAAGTGTTTCTTCAATGTTACTAATTTTTTCTAAACCCTCTCTGAAAAGTCCCAGAATCATTTTAAGGCTAGGGCAATTTTTATATTATTTACTGACTACATTGTTTCCAGAAAATAATATAAAACTAATCTTTAAATCAACTAAAGGTTCTGTAAATATATGTTTGTTGGTAGTTAATAGTGTCCTTCCGGGCCCTCCCTCCCCAGGGCCCTCCCTCCCCTGTGGCACAGGGGGTTAAAAGCCACTTCCCCAAGAGTTGGATCCCTGCCTGCCCCAGAGGAGATCCACAAGTGGAGGCAGACCTCTCCTGACCCCTCCTCCCCCCACCCACACTGCTCCCCTCAGCAGTGACTTCATCAATAGGCCTGTTCTGCTCCCCCTCTGTCTCTGGTGAAGTCTCTCACCACCCCTGCACCTCTGGCCTATACCCCAGTTCTGTATGCACAAATAAATAAATCTTTAAAAAAAAAAATGGTGTCCTTCCATCAATTTTTCTGTAAAAAGAACAAGAAAGTAACAAATCAAACTAAAAACATCTCCATTCTGCCTCACTAATTAATGGTCTGGCCACATCTAAATCCAGTCTTAAGATTCTGATCTAAATTCAGTCATATATTCTAAACAAGTATATATAAGATATCTGAAAAAAGGAAAAATGACCTCTGAAAGTAGTAATGTTAACATGCTTCTGTTCAATTTCATTAAATGAAGATACTGCTACATGTATGATAAAAAATATGTTGACTGCTAAAATTTGGAATTCATGATTCCATTTACTGTGTATTAGCATTTTTTAAGCACATGTTTCTGAATGGCAACTAGCATATCTACTTACCTGTATATGTACTTAGCTGCACAATCTGTGTTCCATAAATATTTAATGAACTGAACCATTTAATCCTAACAACCTTATCACATATTAAGAAATCATGGTTGAAGGTTAGGTCCAAGCCAACCTGCATATGGAGAGATAGCTTACTACCTTGCCTAAGTCACAAAGCTACTGCCAATGTTCGAAATCTAAATTCAAAATTTGGCACAGAGGTTTAGTTAAACTAAACCCTGGTGGCGCAGAGGTTTAGTTAAAGCATGGCACTAAGATGCTACAGCCACTTCAGAATGAGTTCAATCCCCACCCTGGAGGTGACCCACATGGCACAGCAGGCCTCTCCTGATCAGTGCTGCTCTCCTCAGCAGTGTACTTCATCAGTCTGCCTGTTCTGCTCCGCACTCTTGTCTCTGGTGAATCCTCTCACCACCCCTGCACCTCTGGCCTGTATACCAGTTTTATATGCATAAGTAAATAAATCTAAAATAAAATTCAAAAAATAAATTCAAAATTCATCCTCTTTCAACAGTATGTCAATTAAACAGCAAACATGTTAATTTTAATTCAATCATATCATTCTTCCTAAATCATTCTCCTGCAGGTTTGTTTTTTAAAGAAAAAGTTGTCAATAAAGATAGTCTGTTCAATTTTCTCCTTTACACATTTGTTCCAGTACCCATTCCTTCCTTTCCAAGAACTCCAAATTTCTAATTTGGAAGTTCTATTTGGAGATCTTTGGCCAAATGAAGTCACCGTACACTACATATCCAATCAGGGCACTGATTCAAAGTAGCCATATGACGTAAGCTAACTGGGGTGAATCACAAAACTTCTGAATAAGTTGAAAGGTTAAATAAGTTAAGGTAATATGCAAACCCCATTAACTGGGCATCATCTTTGAATCAAGGAAATCTAGACAACATCAAGCATCTGGGTAGTCTTAATAATTTTCTTCATATTTTTTAAACCATTTTGAATCAGGTTTTGAGTTACATCTAACAAATCCAAACAGACGTTTATAAGGGTTATTCTTGTGTCAATGTCTTTCACATCTTGCTCCCTATTCATGGAGTGTTCTTACCCTGTTGATAATTACTTATCTACTAAGCTGCTATTACATATATACCAGGCATTTTGTAAGGTGTTCACCTTTCAGTACCACTAATACTGAAAATGAGTCTACATCCATATTCACAAAATAAACTTCATATTCACCATTCCTTTGATGAGAAAACACAAGCTCAAGTGACTGAGCGACACTCTCAAAACCACACAGCTAATTAACTGTGGAGCTAGGCTTATGTAGCTTATAAGTACTTGTTCTTTCTACTACATGATGCTGCCTGCCTTGGAATCTTGTCTTTAAAAATGTTTGTCTAGGCATCAAATTCTCTATAAAGTTTTCCCTATCTTGAAACCTTGCATATTTCAGAGATAGCTCACTGAAAAGAACAAAAATACTACAGAGTACTGTGACTATTTTTATTTAGAATGCAAGCTTCTTAAGAATAGCTGAATGGAGTAACACTGCTGCCTCCCTCAGCATATGACACACGTCAAATGAGTGGTACCTATGTGTGGAGTAACCACTGAACAGACACACTGTCCTATCATAAATTGAATACCATTAAGAAAACTACTGTCATTACTGAGATATGCTTTAATGCAGAAATGTTTCTGAAATGTGGAATATAGCAGGAAATGTGTAAATACTTCTTGATGTTCCACATTTACTGCAATAAAATGTTGCCGTGTTATAGGTACAAAGGGCTACACAGGAATGTCGTAAATTCACAATTGCGACCATATATACATAAATCTCTCAAACCAAATTCTTTAAATGTTATCAAAGGATCTTGTGTTTAGTAAAGCAGGATATACTTACTGTGCATAGAGTAATAGGTAAATACACTTACAGTAAGTTGGACTGCTGGCTTCATTTAGAACCAAGCTGGCCAACACGTCACATTAACTCTAATCATAACTGAAAAGCTTGAGCCACTACTATCTCCAGTAACCACCTAGCTCTACGATTCTGTTGTAATTAGGAAGTCCTCAGAATTAATGATCATTTCTCAGAATTTTCGTCTGACTTGACTACACAATCTAAAAGTAACTTCTCCGCAGATATGGTTTCTCCTATCAAGTTATCTTACTGAATTTTTCATTACTTACGTTATTACCATTTCCCCCACTGGAATGTAAACACTGAGGCAATAAGGATTTTGCTGTATTTACCAGCACACCCCAAGACTTCACTCCGGACCTAGTAGATAGCTAATAAACGCTTGCTGAAAAAATAAGTCATGGAAAACCAAAACTGCCTTTACCGAACTGAAAAAGGCAAATGGCGAACTGTACCTACTGAATAGGCTCTGCATTTTCCAAAAGTGGACTTTCTCATACATACACTCTGTCTCAGTATTAATCGTACAGAAGACTGGGAGGGGGGATGGCAGGGATGATGGAGGGAGTAAACCAAATTATTGGGAGAAACGGGGAAAATGAAAGAACTTAGACATTTTGATCAGGACCAGTCTGAGTTCAAGACAGCGCCTAAGTTGTTTGTACTGTTCATGTCCAAAATCATCTGTAAACCTCCCCAAAGAAGTTTCACAGTCACAGAAACCTTATCAAAGACAGCTTAGTGACGCCGTCAACAAATACAAACCGTCCCAGTCCCTCCAGACGGCGTCTGGGCGTTTCGGCCCCGCTCACCTCCCTCTCTGGCCGCGGCCGTCTCCGGGCGCTGGGACTGCGAGGAGCCGCCGAGTCCCCCACCTCCAAAACCACCGCGCTCTCGACGAGCCCCGAATCCAGGAAAACTTCCCAACTCCTCTCGGCCCTCCGGACCCCCCAAGCTAACCCCCGACCAGCTCGCCGCCACCGCCGCCCCGCCCCCTCGCCCACCAGGGAGCCCCTCCAACTTCTCCCCTGGGGCTTCCCATCGCTGCCCCCCAGACCTGTTCACCCCGCCACGATTCCTGCGCGCCCGCTCTCTCCCGGGGACCCCGGGACGCCCGACCCCCGAGGG